TGCAAAGGAAGGGGATTTACTCTACTGCTTCCTGTGATGCTTTTAAAAACTATTGTGTAATGCAAACTTTGTTCGTGCTGATAAATATCAGCCTCAAAGGATAATGAAGGCCATAGCAGAAATGCTAAGTCACAGCTTGAACCAGTGATTGAGCACCTGGTGGGAAGGCAGGGCCAACCCAGGGCAGCTCAGGTGCATGTAATGCCCCTGAACTCCACCCTTTCCAGACCTCGTTTAAGGGTCGGCAGTGGAGGTAAGGGTATCTTCCTGGAGAACCCTGCCTCGCTGAGGCCTTGTGAAGGTAAGCAGTATTTTTCCTTTATTTCTGTGCCCATGGCTGCTGTATTTGAGCAAATCCTCGCTGCGCCCTAGGACTTTGCTACTCTGCTGTCATTGCTGTGCTTTCCATTGTTATAGTGCTATAAAGGCCAACCCTAAAATGTCTGGTTAATTCTGAGTTTAAAATGACATGATTTGTCAAGATGAACAGCAGTGAGCTAAAAGGGTTGTGGTAATTAATTAATAAGGCTGAAATGTGCAGTTAAGGAGCATAGAAGCAACTGTGAATCATTGGAAGCATTTCCCTTACTCTTTTATTGAGGTTATTTGATCTATGATGCTCACGTTGTTTCCAGTTTGTGTGTCCAGGAAGATTTATGTTTATCAAGAATCTGTCTTGTTCATATTTCTAAAGTTTTCACAGGATGTGAAGGGTGCAGAGGGTGGAACCAGCATATTACTGAACTGTGGCTTTTTGAATGTGAGAAATTGCACTCTTGTGTAGAGCGCTCAGAACAGTTTCTGAAGAGTGTGAATGTTTGGGCTTTCGTTTTATCTGGGACTGAAGGATGGGTGGAAATTCTGACCCTTTCTTACACAGTATCGTGCCTGCTATAACTACTGCAAGCAGTAGCTATAACTTCCTCCACCAGAGCAAAGTTCATTCAATGTTAGGCTTTTTAGAATCGTAGAATACATTGAGTTGGAAGGGAGCACTGAAGGCCACATAGCCTAACTCCCCTGCAGTGAACAGGGAAACCACAGCTACATCAGGCTGCCCAGGGCCTTATCCAGCCTCGCCTTGAAAGTCTCTAGGGATGGCGCATCAACCACATCACTGGGCAACCTGTTCCAGCGCTTCACCACCCTCACTGTATAGGATTTTTTTTATGTCTAACCTAAATCTCTTAGAGCTTGAAACCATTTCCCCTTTTTGCGTCACTACAGACCCTGCTAAAGGATCTGTCCCCTTCTTTCCTGTAGTTCTTCCAGTACCTGAAAGGGGCCACTCTCAGGTCAACTCAAAGCCTTCTCTTTGAAAATCCCCAGCTCTCTCAGCCTGTACTTGTAGGAGGGGTGTGCCATTCCATGCATTGTTTTTGTGGCTCTTCTCTAGGCACACTCCAACAGGTCTGTGTTCTGGTTGTGGGGTTTTTTTTGTTTGTTTGTTAGTTTTTTCGGTTTGCCCACTTGTTCATCTGTCTTAACAGCAGCTGGGTTTGTAAGAAGGACATTTGCTAAAGAGACAAATGGAAAAACTAGTGTGGTACTTGATCAAATTTACATGTATTTTTCATGGGTCATGAGGCCTTGCTGTCACTGCTGAGAATATTTGAGGTGAAAAATGCAGAATCCAAAATGGAAACCTGTGGCTGCTTTTGGGAGCTACATGGTGCTTACAAATGCCTGTCATATCACAACAGCATGGTATTTATTGGCCAGCAAGGGCTGAGCATTTTCTGCCTGGGTACTCTGTAGTAGCCTATGTTATCTGAATGGTTCTTTTTGGATTTGGTTTGCTTTTAAATATGGGTTTAAAAAATGGATGAGGAGGCTGCCTTTGAAACGGTTCTTGAATTCTGAGTTTAATTTCCTTATTTGTGTTATTTCATTTGTAGATCCAGAGTAGATGGGACTGCATTTGGCAAAAAACGCTTTTCCTTTTGATTTCTGTGTAATTGAATACCAACTTTCAATTCAGCTTTACTTCAATAAGTTGAGAGATTGCTGAAGTGTTTTCTTGGATTTATGTGTGAAGAGGAAAGCAGGCATTGTTCAGTTCTGCTCTTCTTATTCTTCCACAATACTTCTTCTCTTTTAATTGCAATACCTTATGCAATAAATGTCCCATAGATTTCTGCTTAGGGAATTGAAGACCACAGTAATGCAGAAATGGAAAAAGTAAATAATGCTATTAAGGAGGACAGCATTTGACAAAACAGTTTCTGCACGTATCGAGCACTGCTTTTGTTTTGTTATGAGCTAACTTGAATAGTTATAGAAAGTGATTAGTGAGAATTATGATTACAATAGGAAATTAGAGATTCTATTGATTGAATTCTAACTTGTTTTTCAGAGTTAAAATGAAACTGTTAATATTGCTAAGTTTGAAAATAAGTTTTCAAAAAAACTAAAAAATCTCATATTTATCTGTCTTTGTCCTATGTTTATTCAGACTGGTCAATAGCCAGGCATGTTTTAAGAATGGCGTTTAAGCAAATCCAGCAGCAGAGTTTAGATTTAAATGAACATCAGCTCAGTGTGAAGCTTGTTGAAATTGCTTCCAGGAGAGTTTTTCTAGTGGGAACTCTTACCTGCTTTTGACTGGAGCAAATTTAAAACTTTTTTCCTTTTAAATTACCATCTGTAGGGAACTGCATTTCTGTTGGAGTTCTGTCACTTCTCTCACTTCTTTCACTAGAAGAGTTGAGAGGCTTTTTTTTTTTTTTATATATATATATATATATATATATATATATATATATACACACACAGATATGCGCACTCTTATCTACACCATCTCATTTTGGAGGAGACTGACTTTTCAAGTGCCCACAAAAACCATCTGAAATAATTTGTAAACCTTTATTTGTACTTATTTAGTGAATGTTTTTTGACATTGCCATTGATATTGACAGTCAAAATTGGATTCCTTATTGAATACGTGAAGCTGATGAAGTTCTTTACTTGTTTTTGTTCCACCTACATCACTTCTCTACCTTGTTTCTACTAGTACATATTTTCTTGTGGAACTTTATGAAATTAGCTTGAATTGAACTCATCACTGAGTGATGTTCTCTTTACAGTCAGTCTGTCTTAAACTTGTTTCTTGTTTTATAAGATTTTTTTTTTTTTTTTGTACAAAACATGGACATAAAAAGACTGGGAATCTTGGTAACTATTACATGGTTGGAGGAATTAAAAATTAAAATTAAAAAGTGAATTTCTGATATCATACTCTGCGTTTCATTAGATTGTTCAGCTGCACCTTTATGGTTATGTGGTAACAGTGGCCAGCACTGATTTGATTTGATTGTATCACATTGAACTAGAGAGTACAATTCTTGCTGGCTCTTTTGTTTTAGACAAAAACCGTTCCTTTGATTTTAATAAAAGTATATTGAAGTATAAAGGACACAGTCTTCATGTTTCTTATTTAGCTATTATACAAATTCTGTGTTTATGTACAAGTGCAGAGCTGAGGTTTCTTTTTAATCAGCTTGCTCTCTTATGTGTGCAGAGGCAGCAATTTTAGTTCAGTGCATACAATGGTGCTTGAATGTAAGAATATCACAGTTTTAAAGAGCTTGTGGTCATATTCAGGTGCGTGAATGTAGACCTACTTCTGAACTAGTTGTATTTATTTTTTTCTCTGTGGCAAATGGAGCCTGAAAATGGAGTTTTTAGAATAAAATCAAGAATTACTGAATACAAAGGTGTTTAGGAATCTGATGATTTCAGAGGACAGAGGGATCCAGTGCTCACTTCAGTTACCACTGCAGCTGCCACCACTTGTTAGAAATCCGCAAACCTTATTTTACCCTAGAGTTCTCTTTCAGCTGTATGGATTGAGGCACTACAGAAATATAGAACAAAACAATGTGCCTGAGGAGTTTATACGTAAGCAGGCATGTAATATTTCAATATGATTCATTTAAGTAGCATCCTGAATTATTCCAATTCAAGTTTTCCTGTATATTTTTCTAACTGGGAGACTTTCTATGGTCTCACAGTCTTACAGTATTCTCTGCTTGTGAGCAAAGGATAGGAATAAATACTGACATGTTTTCTCTGAGAGTATCTTCCCCTTTCTTTTCAAAGAAGTTGTTAGATTCAATATATCTGCGCATGCTTTGCTGTGATGCCATGGCTGCCATCTTTTGTGCTGTTGAAATGGTGTTTCTGAGTCCTCTACTATTTCGATATACAGAGACTTTGTAGTTCTGATGGGGATTCAAGAATGGTACTCATAGTTACAAATGGTTTACTTCTTAAACGTAATGTTGAGCTTTGTAAATTTTGTAATTAAGTCTCTATAAACTCGGTGTATCCAATATAGACATTTAGAAACTGGATCATTTTATGGATTGGAGTTTGGATCTGCAACGGCTTTGTGCTATAGCAGAAGAACTGGGGAGATGTATTTTGGGAGCAAAATCTCTGAGGCGTGAGCTCTATGTCATTTGAACTTTATGGTTCAGAAAATTGTATTGACTGGGTAGCTTCATGCTTATTGCCTCTAAGAAATTTGTTTGAATTTCCTCTGTGCAAAACAAGTTGTGAGGCAATAGCTGCTCTGGAAACTAATCTCAAAAAGACCCTGTTTGAAGGAGGAGAACACTACATTCTCCTTGTTTCTGCAAGCTACCCTGCTCTTTTTTGTAGTGGTGCTTGTCTGGAAGGCATTTCTCTCATGCTTTCTTTGTGTGCTTTTTTGTCTTCTCCAATGTGAATGAAAATCTATCTATCTAAAGAAAATCTCTATCATGCACTCTATGGTGGAGTTCACTTCATCCTTCGAAGTCTTGTTACTTGTCATGCAATCACTTGTGTGAACTTTCTTTTAAGCTATTAGGCTAACAATTGTTTTGGGTTGGTTTAATTTTTGCAGGTTTATAATATTTGCACATTTATCATGTATGAGTGATTGGTAACAGTAATGAAATAGATAATTGAAGGGTTTCACTTACTTTCTTTTTTCACTCTTCTGTTTCTTGTAGGTTCGTTGCTAAACCATGTGCCTTAGGCCTTAAAGTCCAAGCCAACGGACCACAGAAAGCTCAACCTAATGCTATCCTGGAAAAAGTTTTCACAGCCATTACAAAGGTATAGTATTTATGTAATAAAGGAGGGTATGCCACTGTGAAATATATCTGAACAAAATGACGCTAACTGCTGTGCTGCATTTTTACAGCTAAAATCAGGACATGCAAACATTGCGGTTGTTGGTATGCCAGCTTGAGCAGTTGTGCATCTTTGTGAGCTTTTAATTAAAAAAAGTTATAGAAGTACTTCTCAGGTGCCATATAGCCACTTACTTTTTTGTTTTGCTTCCTCCCTTTTTTCATTTTAGAAATTTCCACAAATATTTATTTGTTTATTTATTTATTTGAATAAATAGCAGATGATGAGATGCCTTTCTGTGTTTTCTAGAAATTTTAAAGCTAATCCTTCCAGGGCAACTGCTTGAGTGCAGGGTGCTGGTGGTTTTCTGGTCTCGTAGCTGTTTGCATTGTGTTTTTTGTCTTTTGAACCTGGAGGGAAAAGCTAGAAAACTGAAACATGGCTTGTACTACTCTTTTCTGTAGAGTAGTCAAAGACAGACCAATTTTGTTTGTCTTGCCTCTGCCTTGGTTTGCAGAGCCATTACCATTCAAATGGAAGTCAAGTTTCATGTTTGCTACTTCGGAGAATAACTGTGTAGCTCATTTTACAGGAAAAAAACCCCCTCTCTCTGTTTCCAAGGTGATATTCCATCTGAATTTGTCACTTTCATGATTTCATTTTTTAAACATTATTATGTGAAAACCATGGGTTATATCCTCTTCTTTACATGTCAGTCAAACAATCTTCACTCCTGTAACTGTCAACAGGACAGAAGATGGAACAGACGAAGTATATGGAAGGCAAGGGAGTGTTTGTAATCCCCACTGCTCCAGAAGTATATATCACATTATCCCCGCTTATCACTATTTTCCAAGTTTGATGCAAGTTTTCATTCTGCTACCCTCTGTAAATTCTTTAGTAAGAAACCACATACAATATTATAGCATATGTCAGACTTCTATATTAATAATAGTCACTGTAAGCATATTTTGATGCAGATGAGTCAGCAGAGATTTCTATCACGGGCATTTTATTTCTACGTGTCCATGCGTCTTACAGATGGCCTCTAAGGAAGGAAGGAAGTTAAACCAGCTTTAAACTTGAAGTTACTGTAATTGGGGAAAATAATTTTTATCCATCTCTGTTGTATAGCATCCGGATGAGAAGAGGCTGGAGGGTCTCTCCAAGCAGCTGGACTGGGACGTACGCAGCATTCAGCGTTGGTTTCGACAAAGACGCAACCAGGAGAAGCCCAGTACTCTTACAAAGTTCTGTGAGAGCATGTAAGGAAACTGTCTTTACAGCACAGTCTTTAGCTATATAGCTTGACAGAGATCAGAAATGGAGGGATAAATACAAAAACCAATTGAGTACTTAAACCTTTTTCCTTGCATTTCTCATTCTGGGGTGGTCCGTTTCACTAGTGCATTTTCTTGAGTATGCTTAATCATTGGAAGCTAAAGATTCCTATGGTTTCTGGAAGTTATTTTTTTACCTTCAAAAGTTTGCTTCTAAGGATTATTTCTCAGAATCCAATTGCTCTTCAAACTGATTATCTACACAGGTTTCTTTTTCTCTATTGTTTCTAGTATCTGAGTCATATTTTTATGCTAGCTGGATTTAGCATAGTAATACTTAATCTGCATGGAAAGAGCAGAAAAACCTAAATCTACTTAATTCATTACCATGTTTTTCTTAAAAGAGAACTGATAGACATTGAACTTGCAAAAAAAACCAACCAACCAAACAAAAAAAACCACAAACAATACCAGTTTCTTTGAAAAAGTTGATTAATTACAAGGCTGAGCTCTCCAGCACTGGTGTAATATCACTCATTCAATGTGGAAAGTCACACATCTAAGGCAAGTTTATATGTTTCAAATCAAGACACTTGGCAAATGTTACCATAAACAAACATCAGGTTTATCACACCCTATTGGTCAAGCAGATGAGTTATAGCTGGCTTAAAGCCAGTTATGCTTTTTGCCAGTTGGGAAAGAAATTTTAGGTAAAAATGTCAGCCCAACCAAGGAAGCCTGTGTGAATTAGAAAGTGAATCCTATTAGTTTTAATCTTTTTTTCCCAAGCTTATTTTAATTCCAAATAATTTCAGCCTTTTGGTAAATAAAGGGAGTCTATAAGAAAGAAGGAGAAAGACTCCTTAGCAGGGTCTGTTGTAATAGGACTAGGAAAAACAGTTTCAAACCAAAAGATGGGAGATTTATATTGAATATAAGGAGGGACTTTTTTTCACAATTTGGGTAGTGAGGCACAGGAACAGCTTGCCCAGAGGAGGTGATGTATGCCCTATCCTTAGAAACGTTCAAAGTCAGGCTGGACCAGGCTCTGAGCAACCCGGTCTAGCTGTGGTGTCCCTGCTCATTGCAGGGGAATTGGACTAGGTAACCTTTAGGCATCTGTACCAACACAAATGATTTTATGATTCTATGATTTCATTAAAAAATTGCATGTAAAGAAATCATAAAAAATGTGTTGCGGCATATATTTATGTGTATGGTAGTCTGTAGTGATTTTGTACTTTCCTTGTGAAGTATGCTGTTATATTATTTTGTACTCTCTCATGTGAGGAGTGTAAAACACTCCACTCTCTCAAGTGTTTTACTTAAACTTTATTTTTCTGTGGAGATGACAGGAAAGTTCATAACATGATCCTGAATGTATAATGTGTTAAGGCATTTTTTTCCAAAGCCAAGTCACAGATGAAATATTATTTCAGTAGCAAATGTTATCGTTTTTCAAGTAAGGATTCATTAGGAGAGAAATTAAAGTGCTACTCTTGAAGCACATTGTCTCTCTAGCTGAGGGAATTTCATTTTTTCTATTTTAGAAGAAAAAAATTGTTTGAAGATGATAGTTCTTTAATGAACAGATGAATATAACTGTCAGAATTCTTAATTAATTTCTGTGGTATTTACAGCTAAAAGCCACACTACTTAGCCAAAGAAAAGCCAGGCAGAGTGAGATTATGGGTGAATAGTGAATGTGTTACCCAACAGCTGATGGTCTTAGAGTAGCTAACTTCTGAGATCACTGAAGGACAACGCTTTTCTACAAGGATGGTGTCTGTAAGTTATACGCTTTTCTTGTGTAACTTGCAGGAGAGGTTGTGGAATCTGGAATAGAAAAAATAACTTTATTGCTGATAGGTCTTGTATATCTAGGGGGTTTATTTGACAGCTTCTGTAACTGGGGCCAAAGATTTCGCTCTTGCCTGAGTGGCAGTGTGTTTGGGCTGACTTAGAGGGCTGAACTAGCCTGACCTTTCTGAGATCAGCAGAGCAGTAGTGGAGAGCTTTTCTGTTTGCAGGAAACTGCATGCAGAAATCAGTTGTGAGAAACGCTTATCACTGGCTGAGTCTCATGTAATGCCTACGAAAGTTACCAGTGCTGAACTTGCTCCTTTGTGGCGTAAGTTATGGAAAAAGTGTGTGGATAAGAGCTGGGAATGCAAATTGAAAGGTGAGATCAAGCTCTGAGCACCTTAACTTATGTAGCCATAATTATATGCCAGCTTCATTTAGAGAGAGATGTTGGGTGTTAGTTCCATGGGCATACTTAACAATAATGACATAGTTGTATTTCCAAGAAGAAGCAGGTTGATGTAAATCATACATGAACAGTTCAGATTCTCTCAGCTCGTGGTTTGCAGAGGGTGCAGCAGGAGCTGCCTCTGCAGCTCCATGTGTACGTGCTGCTGTGAGAGCAAGCTGTTACCTGGCCACAGGAGTGTTCCTGTGGGAGCTTTTGCAGTAGTGCCACATGCCGCCAACTGTCCCTTGTCACACTGGATAGAGTCATCAGCAGTCAGTCCACGCAGCACTGGAAAGTCAGGGATGCCTTTTTTTTTTTTTTCTTTTTTTGTCAGAAGAATCCTTGTGTGGGTGGCATCTTGGAGCTGTGAGCTGTAAGAAGCGTGTGTTTCTGTGGCAGCCGTGGGAACAGTAGCACTCCAGTCCTCCAGTAACACAGCGCTGAAGGGTGGTTAGTAGCCTGCTAGAGGGTGAAACCTCCCCTTGAGTAATCTGTGGGCACAGTGTGAGTGAAGCAACAGTGATCCCCACCCACACCTTCAGCTGTGGAGCTTCTGTTGTCCTTCTAGAGGAGATTGCAGTTTTTCTGGCAACAGACTTCATTGGCTGTGACTTGGGGATGAAAGTGGCAGAACCCACAGTAAATGTGGAGCTGCTTAAGAACAACTCCAACTCTATTATATGGAGTCAGTTCAATTTACAGCTAGTGAAAGTGTTCTTGGGCCCAGAATTACTTTTCCATCCTGTGGAGAAGACAGTTGATCAGAAGGGACCATTTCTGAGCACCTAATCTTTCTTTCTTAATGGATGTCTTGGTTACTGTGAAAGGCAGAATAGATTTGGTAGGACAAAGACTGAGAGTGGAAACACACTTGGGTTGTCATGAATGACACACAAGAGCCAGGCCCCAGCATATTGAAACAGTAACTTATTCTCTATGTTTCTCTGACCATGTATTTCTCAATTTCTCTATCCCTTCCTTCCTACACCCTCAGAAGTATTTAAATTCTGATTCTAAGCACAGTGCTGAGCAACTCCAAAATCTGCATTTTTCTTCTCCAAAAAATTGGATAGATCCTTTCTTGCTTGTCTTCATTACACATCCAAGGAATAAGCAGATGGAAATTAAATGAAAATGGAGATTTTTATTACTGTTTATAAACACTGCCTGTGCAACAGTCTTGTAATGAAAATAAATTACTTTTGAGAGACCCTTAACAGCAGTCACTTCTGAGAGTTTTGTGTCTCCATCTGAAAGAGAAAGTGCCATTCAATTATTGGAGCTGTGGAATCCACTCGTGGTGAGGCTTCAAGTGGCATCATGTACTTGTTTTAGAGTTCAGATGTTATGGTTCTAAGCAGGTATATAAAAAATGGAATTGTTGTTATCGCCAGGTAATGATTCATTATCGAGTGTTATTCCAAAGACAGTAACAAATGAAGTGCAGAGATTTATTTTATTAGCAAGTTGAATTGTTTTTCAACGGTTTGATGATTTTGAAATGAAACTTGGAGCTAATAATGTAATGTTTGTAGTTGCTGGAAAGTCATGCAATTTCTGTTTGTAATGCTCAGGTACTAGCTGCAGGGGTATGTCGTGCATTACTTTTTCTCTCGTGGGACCACGGGCAGTTTTTCTTCTTTCTCCATGTTAAAGATCCAGGGAGCATAAAGGAGAAGAAAAATTGGTGATCTGTGTGCACAGTGGACTTTTCTACTGCTGTGAATTTCTGCTGCTTTTTATTCCTTTTATTCTGTGCCCAGGGTGCAGCCAAAGATAAAGAAAAAACAAGCTTTCTCTGGAGAGTAGGGGAAGGTCTTTGTGTTCTGCTCTTTAAATGTGCAGCACATGAGAATACACAAAGCTTTTCTGAAGCTTGTGTAATTTCTGTGTTATTCATGTTGAATATCTGCAGTACTTTACAAGAATAACAATTGTTTCTACGTAGGGCTGTCAGTCAGTGATACAATGATATAAATTGGACCAGATGCTCAAAAGACTCTACTGGAGCATAGTTCTGGCACAGAAATATATATATATATTTTTAAAGTGTCTGGCCATTAATACAAAACAAAATCCCAGATATCTCTTAACGGGGAACGTTATATCTAAAAACAGCAGGATGAGAATTCATGGCATGAATTAAGCTAGTGGAAAGGGATCTTCAAGGTGTGCTGGGGTTTATTTGAGAGGAGGTAATGCCTGGAAGGCCTTGAATGATGGTTTTACTGACTGCCAAACAGAATGCAGGACACACAGTGTCTTTGTTACTATATCTGAAAGACAATGCAGTGGTGATTCCAAATGACTTCCAGGTTCTTTCCCATTTCAGTGTAATGTGCTTCTGCTTCACACGAGGCAGCAGGCGCCTCTACTGTTCTCAAAGGGGGACAGTATTGAACAAACAAGCATCTTGCTCCCCTTCTATGTCCAAGCAAAGGGAAAAAATATCTCTGCCCTAAGTTATCAGACTGGGATTATGAAATACCATCAGATACATGACTTGTCTATCCTTCAGCTACATAGGTAGAAGTAAGCTGGTTATGAGAGAGATTTTCATGGTTTCCAAGGAGTAGCTGGCAGATATGTGTGGACAAGAGTGTTTTTGGAGTTTTTTTGCAACAGTCTGTGTTGAAAACATGGATATTCACATACTGAGGAGTGAAATCTAGACAACATACTTTTTTTCTTAAGGAAATGACAGTGTTTAAGAATGCTGCTTTGGGGGAGA